ACCTGAGTATTACAGTGGATGAGAAGCTGGATATGAGTCAACAGTGTGCCCTTATAGCCAAGAGAGCTAATGGCATATTAGGGAGCATTAGGAGGAGCATTGCCAGAAGATCCAGAGAAGTCATTATTCCCCTTTATTCGGCTCTGGTGAGGACACATCTGGAGTATTGTGTCCTGTTCTGGCCCACCCAAAATAGAAAGGATGTGGATGCATTGGAGAGGGTCCAGTGGAGGGTGACCAAAATGATTAGGGGGCTGGAGCGCATGACCTATGAGGAGAGACTGAAGGATTTGGGTTTGTTTAGTCTGCAGAAGAGTGAGGGAAGATTTGATAGAAGCCTTCAACTTACTGAAGAGAGGTTCCAAAGTGGATGGAGAGAGGCTGTTCACAGTAGTAATAGATGGCAGAACAAGGAGCAATGGTCTCACATTACAATGGGAGAGATCTAGGCTGGGATATTAGGAAAAACTATTTCACTAGGACAGTGGTGAAGCACTGGAATGGGTTACTTAGGGAGGTGGTGGAATCTCCATGATTCCACTCTAGGATTCTATGACTTCTTAGATCACACTTTGTCTGGAACCTCGCCCTCGTCTGTTCTGCCATGGGTGACCCTAAGGGAGTACATGACTCCAGGCAGCATCACTCTCACGGGTCATTGGAACATGCAAGCCTCTCCACTACTACAAGGTGATGACCCATGGAGAGAGATCACTTACTACACTTCTGACCGCCATACTTGGCTAGTGTGCAGGGTGCAATCTGCACTTTTATTTTTCCAAACAATTGTTATGTGAAAATCAAAACCCTGGCAAATATTTCCTACCTTCTTCTGCTACACTGGCATTTAAGTTTCATAATTACATTTTCCAGAAGTCCATGACAGACAATATTCAGTCTTAAGATCTGGTATCTTTAAGTACAGACAAAGTGCTGGTATGGACAGCACAATGTCAAGTGGGAGACACTCTCCCAACACTAGTATTGTCACAATTTAAGGGGTGGCTTATTTATGCTGATGGGAGAGCTCACTCTAGCTGCCTTAGAATGGCTACACAGAGGACCTTACAGCAGCGCAGCTCCAGCAGTATAGCTGTGCCATTGTAAGATTTGTAGTACAGAGACAGCCTTAGGTGTGCTGTCCCAAAAGAATGTGATCTACATGATGAAGCATGAGTGCTGTAACCAACAGAGCTCTACTTGTATTAAAGTATTGTATTCTTTGTGTTCCTTGTCCTCTCCAAGACTTTATACTGACCCCACAGCCCCCACACATTTCTGCACTTGTTTCATCTTACACCCTCTCCCAATGCCCATGCTCCTCTCTGACCTTCCTGCCTGACAGTCCTTTTGTCTCTTATTCCTCCTCCATCTTTAAGCCTACTTCCACACCTATGCTTTGAACTCCCTCCTTGTTCAACAGAAACCTTCCTCTTCATGTTCAAATCTCTTTTTCAGCGTTAACCTCTCCCCAACAGCATTCAAATATTAATAGGGAGAAACGAGGAACAAAATGAAACACTCACTTCTCTATAAAGAATCAGCCTTCTATTCATCATATGTACTTCATGTATATTATGATCCTGTCTGCTTACTATTGTTTGGACTACATTACTGATTCCTGAAGTAGGTGCAGAGCCCATTCCATGATCAGAGCCTTCAATTATAAGCTTCTTGAGAAAGGGACATTTTTTCCTTCCCGTGTTTTGTACAATACTGAGCATACCTTTGGTGCCGCAAACAACATCAGCCACTACCAATAACACCTACCTAACAGACTGCAAAACAGATAATCCATGTGAGAAATTAGTTGCAGGAAGAGATGAATACACAGAGAGGTAATGATAGAAAATAAGACCAGAGTCCACAAATCTCTCCAAAATTTCCTGAAATTCTTGGGATTTCTCTTTTGAAACGCACATCACTGCCCATCTTACAAAGTGTCACACACGCCAACTCAGGCTCAGAAAGGTTTAGTACATTTGACTAGAGATGTTAAATTTAGTTTAATTAACTAATCAAATAATTGATGGGATTTCCATCGACTATTTGATTAGTCGATAAGGGCGCCTCTGCCTTTGAACTGTAGCAAGAACACTACCGGGCTCTTGCTACAGTTCCAAAGAGGAAGCCCCGCAGGGAGCACTGGGCCAGTGGGAGACTGTCCCTGTAGTGCCTGAACCTCTGAAATTTACAAGAGCCTGGGACTCTTGTACATTTCAAAAGCAGAACTGCAGCAGAACCCGCATGAGTGGAGACTGCTTCAGTCTCTGCTCCTGCCATTTCCCACTGTGCCTCTCCCTCCCTTGCCCCCTGCAGAGACAGTGCTGGAGGGAACCAGCTTTTAATGAACCAGCACTGGCTTCTGCTCCCCCCCCTCACTTGCTGCCTCTCTCTGATAGAGGCATCAAGAATGGGGGAGGGGCAGCAACTAGCTGCATCACTAGTTGACTATCCGATAAGCTTATGCTTATAGGACAGTCGACTAGTCGCTTACATCCATACATTTGATCTAACAAAGTTTAAGCTCTTCCTGGCTGACAAGCAGCTTTCTAATGACTTAAACTTTATTTCCAACAAGAGCATGAGAGTGAGTGTCATTCTGAGAGTGAGTATTCATTCTGATACTATCCTTAACCTCTTGTCTCTCTTGGGGTACATCTATACTGCACCCTTAGCTCAAAATAGCTTATTTCAAAATAGAGAGGTTTTTCCAAGTGTCCCTTAATCCTCATGGAACGAGGTTTACAGGGATGTCAGAATAGCTCACCCATTATTTTGAAAGCTATTTCAAAATAACTGACTTGTCCAACAGACACGGAATAGCTATTTAGAGATACTGGAAGTATCCCAAAATACCACCGCTGTCTAGACGTACCCTTGGAGGCCACTTTCCAGTTCTCTTTATAAAGCGCAGTTCTATTCTTTTAAAAAAGGGAGGGAGGCCACTTTCCAGTTCTCTTTATAAAGCGCAGTTCTATTATTAAATATGAGTCTATTAAAAAAAGGGAGGCAAGGTGGGGAGAAGTAATATATTTTGTGGGAGCAACTTCTGTTGGTGGAGAGGACAAGCTTTTGAACTTCACAGAGATCTAATAAGGTTTGGAGAATTTAACCAGAATGTCACAGCTAAATAAATGTAAAAAACCTCTTTCCACCCTGGCCTCCTTTTCATTCCATTAAGCACTCACTGGGAGGTTGCTTCTCAGGATAAGCTTGACAGGACTGGAGAATTGTTTGAAGGCTGGAAGAGGGAGTTGGGAAAAGATTTTTTTTCCAGGATATGGTCCCCATTAAAGACAGTTGTAACTGTATATATGCCTAACAATCTGTCCCTCCCCTTAGTTAGCTGAGACACTCTGCTTTCTTATTCAGGCCTGAAGAGGAGGTCTGTGAAGCTCAAAAGTTTGGCCCCTTTATCAACCACGTCTGTGTTCTCGTCATAAAAGAGATCTCAAGTTAGTTAAATGTTTTCCATAAATCCATGTTGATCAACATTAATAATATTATCCTCCTTTAATTTCTCTATTAATCCATTTCCATATCAGCTACTCCATTATCTTGCTTTGAATCAGACTGACAGGCCTATAATTACTCAGGTCATCCTGTTTATCCTTTTTAAAATATTGGCACAACAAAATTAGCTTTCTGCCACTTTTCTGGAAATAAACATGGTTAAATTCCTTTGCTGTTCCTAAAGGGAGCCATCCACATGTAGAGACAATGTGCAACACGTACACATTTATTTTAGAAGCTCTTGTTCTTCTCCCTTCTTTGATCTTGTCATCTTGTCAGGCTATCCTACAGGCTTAAATCCCTCTTCCCAGAGGGCTCCCACCTCTTTAGGGGTACTGGAAGCCTGCTGCTGAAATGGGTTCTGTAATCTGCAGGCCATCAACGCCTTAAAAATTAAGTGACCTGCAATAATGAAACTAGAAGGGACATGGGAAGAGTACGCATATTCTGGGAAGCAAATTTACTACTATATGGTCTGTGTGTTAAATGTTAATTTGGAGAAATAAGTTAAATGTGTGGTGTCAAAATGCTTCCCAAATACTAGCTGTTGATCCACTAATTGTGATTTTGACTACTTTTAAAGATAAGACTTATTGGGGCTGCTGTAAATGCTGGGAATTGCCCAGTAGGGGATGATGGAAGCTGTATGACCAGCACCTCTTGTGTAGTTTCTATGCATAGAGAACCTATGTATCCCTAGGATATGCCAAGCATATGAAAGCGCTGTATTTCCAACCAGAGCAGGTTTTGACAACAACAAAAATTCAATGCCAAATGGTGAACCCAAAATGTCCAAAATGCAGTGTTTCCAATAGTCCACATAATGTACCTCCTGCCTCCTGCTTATATTTTAAGTTTATTCTACTGCACACCATTTTCCCAATAATTATGGTTAATTCATGAGATGAAGCTATAAATCAAACTATTTATTTTTCATATTATTAAAAAGATACTCAACTCCAATGCCTGCATTATGCAGAATTTGTTTAATAGTTGCGTACAGAAACACACTTTAAAAGAGTCCTAAAAATATCCTGGCTATTGCAAATTTAAAAGCAATTCTGCTGTAAGAGCCCCAAAGTTGATTTTATAAATTAAACAGGATATTGAACCACATGCTAGGTACTTTTTAAGGATTTCCCCCTCTCTTCTCCCAGTTTTCATCTTTGAAAAGGCATCAATTATTTTCTCGGTGAAATTAATTACAATTTCCATTTTTTTCCATTTCTCTTTCCAATGAATATATTTCTCAAAGTTAAGTGTGTTCTCTTTAAAGATTAATTGGATTAGGATTTAGGTTGATTTGGCTAAGAGTTTAATTAAAATGCTTGAGAATCATTTAGCCAGAATTCTAGGTGGTTTCAGTGTCTGGACACGAAAGGACTGAATCTGAATTTGTTAGTCCAGCTCAGCGCACTGCATTCACGAACCTTATGTGCAGAATTCCAGTGAAATTCCAGTGAAACTAAATTAAGCATTCTCACCCGTAATCTTGTAGTGGAGATTTCCGCCTTCAGAATGTCAGGGTCATATTTTGTGCTGGATGATGAGCTTGAGAATACTTTAAAAAAATTGAAAGAAAAAAATATATTTAACTACTTTAAAATAGATACTTATTTCCCTTATTGAAGGGCTCACCTAGCACTAAAACTGTGAAGTTAATGTAATACCACAAATAAAATGGATAGTATTTTTTAAATGGATACCTATTATAGTACCATCTAAGTGTGAAAATAATTAATATTCACCACATTTTCTTCTACCTTTGTTACCACCATTTGGGTGAATTCAAACATGTAAGGGAGGAGAAGCTCTGTCTCGAATGGAATCCAAGGAAAATGCCCATTTATCCCTGCTTTCAACACCCACCTCTTGGCCACTATTCTTGCTGGGCAGCACACTATTTGGGGAGGCAGGGAGGGCAAGAAATCATCAGAGCTCAAAGAGCTCTCACAACAAATAGGTTTTTTGGAATGTGGGTTTATTTAGTTGGGACCAGAGATTCCAACTTCCTATTCACAGAAAACCAACTTCCTTGCCCTGCCCTCCCCCCCCCTCACTCCATACCCCCTTGTCTCTGTTGCTCATTTCACCTCCCCCCAATCCCGGCTTGCTCATTTTCATCAGGCAGAGGTAGGGAGCTGGGGTGTGAGGGCTCCAGCTGGGGTTGGAGATGAGGGGTTTCAGATGGCTCAGGACTGGATGGTAGGGTCAAGAGGTTCAGGATGCAGGACGGAGTGAGGATTCCAGTTGAAGGTGCAGGCTCGGAGGGGGGGGGGGGACAGGATTGGGGGGACTCAGGACTAGAGTATGGGGTTTGGGTCACAGGAGGAGATTTGGGGTGCACGTTCTGGGTGGTGCTCATTTCAAGTGGCTTTCTCTGACTAGAGGTGTGGCCAGGTAGCTGCACATGCTTGCCCCTGCCTGTAGGTGGCATGCTCACAGCTCCCATTGGCTGTGGTTCCTGATGCTCACAGAGCTCCTGTGGCCACCCATTACACTTAGGAGCCAAAGGGAGATGCTGGCAGCTTCCCAGGAGCTGTGCAGAGCTATGCAGGCACCTTACTTACACTGCTGCAAGCAGCCAACTGGACTTTTAATGGCCTCCTCAACAGTGCTGACAGGAGCCACTAGGGTCCCTTATCAATGGAGCACTCCAGTCAAAAACCAGATACCTGGCAACCTTAGTCAAGACCCACCACTCTTCTCTTCAGGGTTTGAGCTTACTGCTTTTTAAACACTCCCACTGTGGAGTAAGATAATTGGTCAACCACCCAAACACACATCTTTCAAAAACACGATACTTGGCCAGCCTTCCCTCTTTGCTTTTGGGATTTAACCCAAAATGATCCCACTTAATTGTATTGACCCCCATGCTTTATATCCGCATTCATGTTGTAAAACTTAAACTGTTGTCAACATTAAGCAGTGAAATCCACAGCTCCATCTATTATTTCCACCTATTACCAGAGCGAGTAGCTGGCTCATAACCCAAAAAGGAACAAGTAAACCTATATCCTTAGAACACCAGCCCACCTAATCTAGGTTCCAGCAAATCACATGAAGGAACAGATTCCAGAGCTAAATGCTGTAGGATTCAACTGTGTTAGACAGACCAGAGCTTTCTGTAGCACAAAATAGTTGCCTGAAGGGGAAAAAAGTGCAAAGGCTGTGAACTAAAACAGCCAGCGGTCCAAAATATCGAGGACTAGTCTTGAATTGCAAAACAAGAGCCATTGAAGAGAATAATCAATGGAGTTGGAGCATGCACATTTCTAATGTACTTACAACTTGTACGAGAGCTTGATTTTTCTTTGTAGGCATCATTTAGACGTACATACTCATCCAGGGCGAGGGCTAGCCTCTGTTCCTTCACCTGGTACAGTTCTTTCTGGGTGCTGAGTGCATCCTGTGCTACCGTGAGATAGTCTTTGAGCATTCTCTCTTGTTCTTGCCTCCATTGTTTTCGGGGATCTTCTATCTGCGTGGTTTCTTAAAAAAACAAAAGTTGTTAAAAGCTTCAGTTTAGTTCCATTAATTGTACCAAGTCATTAGACATCAATGTGCTAGTCACTTCTGCTATATCTACAATGTGGGTTTTATTTGTAATTCACAGTTCTAGTTTAAGTCTAGATTGTTGGCTAGTCCCTCCAGAGAAAGATAGATCAGGGAAAAGAGATTGGGAAGCCAGTATAAATAGTCTGGATATTTCACAATTTGAGCTGTTTTAGTTTTAGCGGTCTCAATGAAATTAAAAAGGATCCAAAGTTGTAGCTTTGGTACTACATGCATTTTTTTTTAAAGGATGAATTTTATTACCTTTATTACCGGGGCCAGAGCAGCCGCCCTTCCCTCTCCCCCGCAGCCAGTTGTTAACGGTTTAAACAAATTGTTTAAGCAGTTAACCAATTTAGGCAGTTTTTACATCTCTATTGAAACCTCGTTTATTTTTTAAAAAGTTAATGAAAAGAGGTTTCAAACACTAGCATTACACCTGCTCTGGAGTCCCTGTGCAATTTTTATGGTTTTACAATCACATTTGGGGTGATCTCACTCCACATCTCTACTGAGTGAAAGGTTTTTTTTCTTAATACGTATCTGTGTTTCACTGCCATTGTCAACCTAACTGAGCACTGGTTAGTCACATAAACAACACAGGAAAACCTAAACCTCACTACACATAATGCTGTTAAATGCTCAAGGAAAACACACTTTGAAATCATACTCATACTGCTTTTTTATGCAAGACTGTAGAAAGGTTATTATACTGAAAGAAAGATGTGTGATTACATATTATAAGATTGCCATAATGCTGAGATGTAAGGGGGCAGCATCACAGTATATTTTCAACTTTATTTTTTCCTGACTGCTTAATACTGGGTTAGCTTGCAGAAAGTTATAATAATAAAAGAGAGGAAAACTGAGGTTATCTTAACACATCTCCATGGCAAAGCAATCAAATCTGAAATGTAAACACTGCACTTCCATTATGCAGACAAGATCATAAAAACTCTTTGCTCTGTTCAAAATTAAAGTTTTATCAGCTAAAGATTTATCAGCTAAAGATACAATAACTCCATAGCAAATGACAAAAGAGCATATTCAATAATAAATACAGGTAACTTTAAAATATTAACTGATTACTTAAAAATATTCACTCCACAGAACACAAGTGGTTCTATTGTAGTCAAGTGCTCTATTTCACTCCACTTCCTGATATAAATACGCCCCTCACCAAAGACATTTTTTTTACAGTGCCACCTTTGGGTCCTCACAGGCAGCAAACCCAAATGCTGCAAATTTAGCTGACTTACAGGTCCCAAAACTCCAGATTACCCTCCTCGCTATCCCAGTGCCCTTGAAGAATGCATGGTCTCTGCTCCCTACCTACACTCTCCAACATACCATGTAACATCTCAGAACACATAATTACTCCATCACTCTATGCTAGGTACAGCAAAGAAATCCACACTTCTCATATATTAAGGTGTGCTGCAAGTGTAGCCATAACAGACTATGTGTGTGCATTGAAATGGACAGAAACGTTTATGCCTTTCCAGTTTTAAATTTCCACATTGTTAATTTAGATTACACTGCCTGTAGTTTTTTTGCATATTCTTTTTATGCCCTGTGTCTCCCACTCAAAGTTGGACAATAAAATAATTTCTATTAGTTACCTACACGTACTGAAGAATGCATAGCAGACCTCAGAACAAACAGTACTTATAAATGTACATATTGTATGCACCACATAATTCATGGCTTCAAGACAACCACCTCGTTTATAACTGTACAGCAAGGACTATTCAATTCTGACTGACACCCAAAGCTTCAAGCCCACAGAACGTTATCATGGCTGATTACTAGTGCTCCTTTAAAGCCTTCTGTAACCACTTATCTCTGACTTTAAATGCTGCTCCACCTCAAACCTGGCGATGGAATGACTATACTGCTGCTCCACCTCAAACCTGGCGATGGCTTTTCCCCCCTCAGAGATCCTGTGCAAAACACAAGGATCTGGGATATTTTTCTCTCTGAGATCCAAACCAGTATCCTTTAAATCTACCAAAAGCCCCACCCCCCCTTTTTTTGCACCTATTGAGCCAGTTATTGAATTCTTCCTTGGTGCTATGAAGGTGGCTAGTGTACAGCTTCACAAGCCATGGGAGCAAGGGATAGGCTAAGTGCCACAGCTTTCTGAATAGTCCTGCCTTCTTAAAGATTTCCGCTTCATGCACCTTCCCTAATTAGTCGACGCCAATACTTGTGACGCATCCACCATGATCCACCAGGACTTCCATAATCAAAGAGTAGTAACTCTTTCTGTTAATATTCTCTATGGCGAGGTGGGCTGGTGCCAAAATAGAGATGCGATGCAAATCCATCCACTGTGTCCAGCATATTATCGAGTGTCACTATCCTTCACAGACAGAGATGATTAACACCAATACACACTTCCGTGACAAGGAAAATCCACAGAGTGAGCGCGTTGTGATTCTAATATCACACATTGGAGGGCTGATCTGGGAACATGGCCTTTCACATCTGAAAGTTTTGCAGATACGGCTCGGCATTTCAAAAACTACATTATGAAACAATCCTACCAATAATTTCTACCCCTAAGACATTGCAAAAATTTCCCAAAAGGCATCACACTGAACAGTGATGCACGGCACACGGGGGGATTCCTCTCTGTACCATACTTTTCATCATCAGAAGCACTCTTGGATGAGCAAGTGCAATGCTGATGCAAGCAGCCAAATGTGGACACACCTAAATGATACACAGACTACAGTGGCTGCCAACCAAAGCAATTTGTATTAACCAAAGTTTGCAGTGTAAACAGGATCTTAAGCTTTTTGTGTTCCAAGGCAAGATCTCAGTTGATAATTATCAATAATACTTTATAATTTTTCAAATTTCATCTTTTTTTGGTTTTAACATTAGGCAGAAAAAAAATAGGACAGTTCATTAAATAAACCAACAAACATAAGAAGGATTTTGAGAATATAATGCTGGTGACTTCTCCAAGTATAATACAGAACACTGTAGTGCACTTCTATAGAAAAGCATACACAAAGCAAGCACAGGGAGAGCGAGAGCCCATCATATAAAACTTAAGAGCAGTACGTAAAAGATTAAAGCAGGGCAGCTTTATTCACAATTGGTGTTCCAACAACCTAAACAGGGAATCTCTCTCTGAACTAACTTTAGCTACACACTTGCACACACAGAACCCATGTTTATGTTTACAGTCACCTGCTCTTTTCCTGAGACAGCGGACACACACACAAAAAAGCCGATCAATACCCTTTTTCCCCTCAAATGGGCAACACTTGTCCCTCGGAGTGTATTTATTATTGCTACTGTGCTTTATAATAAGTGCTGAGTTTTCAGAGGTGTTCCTGCTTGTGAAGGATGAAGCAGAAAAGGACTCGAATGGGTAGGCTACCAAATAGAATAACTGCAGTTGTGTTGGTTTCTGGAAGGATGCAATGATGTAGTTGTAGTTTACAAGTGACACTAGTAGCAATGAAGAATAATTTTAGAAGATTGGAAGGTCCTGTCTTCAAGCATATTGCAGGTAATTGTTCTGTAGGTTTAAGTCAGGATTGCTCAACGTGTGGCTCCAAGGCCAGCTAAAGCCCACAGAGTCCTAAAACATAGTCTACAGTCCTGTCCTTGTGACTGCAGGACAAGGACAAAGATGATCAGCGGCAAATTTTTATTGCTGACAAACTTAATGAAGCAATTTCTCTTTGCTTCGCAAAACTACATATTCAAGCCAACATTATGACTATGTGAGCTTATTTTAGAGTATGTGCATTCATAAGTGCACCTATGCCTCCTGAAAAGTTGTTAATATGGTCCCTTCTGGGACTTCAGGATTAGGTGACTCAGTACTTATTTACACTGGGAAATTGGCCAGCACAGCTATTCTAAAATGGAAACTCTATTTCACTATAAATGTGATCTTATTCAGAAATAGTTACTCCACTCAAAGTTATTCCAGAATAGCCTTCTTGCATAAATAAGGCTTTCAAGTCTCAAAAGATGCTTTTAGAAGCAGAGGCTAGTTTTCACTATCTGGCTTTTTAGAAATGAGTGAATAACTACTTATTTGATAAAGAAATATATTTATGTGAGGTTGCATTGCTAAAAGTATGTTTATGTGAAAATTCAGAGCCACACTATCGATCCTAACAGTTTAACAGTTTCTATACAGAAGTGACAGACAGTACTGAGAGTTTATAGCCCTTTCCTAATAATGTAATGCTACAATGCTGGAAGTAGCAATCATTTTGGTGACTGTTTCTGTTTTGCATGCTTTCTAATTTATTCACAGAACATTCAAAATTAAGGGTACTTGTTTTTTCAAAGCAAATTTCAAACTAAGATGATCCACTGTGTTCTTTTAAGCATTTTTGTTGGAATGAGAATTGGTTTAATCACACCTGACTTCAAGTTGTTTAAGTTTTATGTAGGAATATTATCAGGTCAGTTGCAGGCATGTGGAATGAGAATTGGTTTAATCACACCTTACTTTAAGTTGTTTAAGTTTTATGTGGGAATATTAACAGGTCAGTTACAGGCATACCACTAATGGGATGGACTGCTCAAAAGTACTTATAGCCTTTAATCGCTAAGTCACTGATTGAAATTCAGCCCAGCACAATAATAATAAAAAAAAAAGTGCTTCCAGACAATGGTTATTCAACAGATTGTGTGAAATGAGTTTGGGGGTTTCAGTCCAACTTCCAGTGGACAACTATCTAGATAACAATACTTTACCACAAATAGCAAACTGTAATGAGTAGGGATAGTAACAAACTCTGACCATTGCAGCCCATTCCTACAGATCAGGGTGAAGACACATTGGAGCCCATTCCTACAGATCAGGGTGAAGAGACATTGGCAGAAAAATGATAGCGAACAGCTAAGGCAAGATCTGCTCTATTAAAGAGAACTTTAATCCCCATACAAAATAACTT